GTTATGGGGTCACACACAGTTATGGGGTCACATACAGTTATGGGGGTAACACAGTTATGGGGTCACACACAGTTATGGGATCACACAGTTATGGGGTCACACACAGTTATGGGATCACACAGTTATGGGATCACACACATTTATGGGGTCACACACAGTTATGGGATCACACACAGTAATGGGATCACACGCAGTTATGGGGTCACATACAGTCATGGGGGTCACACACTTATGGGGTCAAACAGTTATGAGGGGTCAGAGACACTTAAGGGGGCCACACACAGTTATGGGATCACACATAGTTATGGGATGATCACACATAGTTATGGGATCACACACAGTTATGGGGTCACATACAGTTAATGGGGTAACACAGTTATGGGATCACACACAGTTATGGGGTCACACACAGTTATGGGGTCACACACAGTTATGGGATCACACACAGTTATGGGGTCAGATACAGTCATGGGGTCACACACTTATGGGGTCAAACAGCTATGAGGGGTCAGAGACACTTAAGGGGGTCACACACAGTTATGGGGTCAAACAGCTATGAGGGGTCAGAGACACTTAAGGGGGTCACACACAGTTATGGGGTCACACACAGTTATGGGGTCACACACAGTTATGGGGGTCACATACAGTTATGGGGTCACACACAGTTATGGGGTCACATACAGTTATGGGGTCACACACAGTTATGGGGTCACACACAGTTATGGGGTCACACACAGTTATGGGGTCACACACAGTTATGGGGTCACAACAGTTATGGGGTCACACACAGTTATGGGGTCACACACAGTTATGGGGTCACACACAGTTATGGGGTCACACACAGTTTATGGGGTCACATACAGTTATGGGGTCACACACAGTTATGGGGTCACACACAGTTATGGGGTCACACACAGTTATGGGGTCACACACAGTTATGGGGTCACACACAGTTATGGGGTCACACACAGTTATGGGGGTCACATACAGTTATGGGGTCACACACAGTTATGGGGTCACACACAGTTATGGGGTCACACACAGTTATGGGGTCACACACAGTTATGGGGGTCACATACAGTTATGGGGTCACACACAGTTATGGGGTCACACACAGTTATGGGGTCACATACAGTTATGGGGTCACACACAGTTATGGGGGTCACATACAGTTATGGGGGTCACATACAGTTATGGGGTCACACACAGTTATGGGGGTCACATACAGTTATGGGGTCACACACAGTTATGGGGTCACATACAGTTATGGGGTCACACACAGTTATGGGGTCCACACACAGTTATGGGGTCACACACAGTTATGGGGTCACACACAGTTATGGGGTCACATACAGTTATGGGGTCACACACAGTTATGGGGTCACACACAGTTATGGGGTCACACACAGTTATGGAGTCACATACAGTTATGGGGTCACACACAGTTATGGGGTCACACACAGTTATGGGGTCACACACAGTTATGGGGTCACATACAGTTATGGGGTCACACACAGTTATGGGGTCACACACAGTTATGGGGTCACACACAGTTATGGGGGTCACATACAGTTATGGGGTCACACACAGTTATGGGGTCACACACAGTTATGGGGTCACACACAGTTATGGGGTCACACACAGTTATGGGGGTCACATACAGTTATGGGGGTCACATACAGTTATGGGGTCACACACAGTTATGGGGGTCACATACAGTTATGGGGTCACAACAGTTATGGGGTCACACACAGATGTTATGGGGTCACATACAGTTATGGGGGTCACATACAGTTATGGGGTCACACACAGTTATGGGGTCACATACAGTTATGGGGGTCACATACAGTTATGGGGGTCACATACAGTTATGGGGGTCACATACAGTTATGGGGTCACACACAGTTATGGGGGTCACATACAGTTATGGGGTCACACACAGTTATGGGGTCACACACAGTTATGGGGTCACATACAGTTATGGGGGTCACATACAGTTATGGGGTCACACACAGTTATGGGGTCACACACAGTTATGGGGTCACACAGTTATGGGGTCACATACAGTTATGGGGGTCACATACAGTTATGGGGTCACACACAGTTATGGGGTCACACACAGTTATGGGGTCACATACAGTTATGGGGGTCACATACAGTTATGGGGGTCACACACAGTTATGGGGTCACACACAGTTATGGGGGTCACACACAGTTATGGGGTCACACACAGTTATGGGGTCACATACAGTTATGGGGGTCACATACAGTTATGGGGTCACACACAGTTATGGGGTCACACACAGTTATGGGGTCACATACAGTTATGGGGTCACACACAGTTATGGGGTCACACACAGTTATGGGGTCACATACAGTTATGGGGTCACACACAGTTATGGGGTCACACACAGTTATGGGGTCACATACAGTTATGGGGTCACACACAGTTATGGGGGTCACACACAGTTATGGGGTCACACACAGTTATGGGGTCACATACAGTTATGGGGGTCACAGTTATTAAGGGTCACATTTTTTCTCTAAAATTTACTCACGAATTTTAGACAACTCAGTTACCTTAAGCCAACGTTTGCTAGGCCAGGCTAGGCCAGGCTAGGCCAGGCTTGGCCAGGCTAGGCCAGGCTTGGCCAGGCTAGGCCAGGCTGGGCTAGGCCAGGCTGAGCTAGGCCAGGCTGGGCTAGGCACTCTAGGCTAGGACAGGCTAGGCCAGGCTGGGCTAGGCACTCTAGGCCAAGCCAGGCTAGGCTAGGCCAGGCTGGGCTAGGCACTCTAGGCCAGGCCAGGCTAGGCTAGGCCAGGCTGGGCCAGGCTGGGCTAGGCACTCTAGGCCAGGCTAGGCTAGTCCAGGCTAGGCCAGGCTGGGCTAGGCCAGGCTAGGCCAGGCTGGGCCAGGCTGGGCTAAGCCACGCTAGGCTAGTCCAGGCTAGGCCAAGCTGGGCTAAGCCAGGCTAGGATAGGCTAGTCCAGGCTAGGCCAGGCTAGGCTAGGCTAGGCCAGGCTAGGCCAGACTAGGCTAGGCTAGTCCAGGCTAGGCCAGGCTAGGCTAGGCCAGGCTAGGCCAGGCCAGGCTAGGCTAGGCCAGGCCAGGCTAGGCCAGGCCAGGCCAGGCTAGGCCAGGCCTAGGCTAGTCCAGGCTAGGCCAGGCTAGGCTAGGCCAGGCTAGGCCAGGCTAGGCTAGGCCAGGCTAAGATACGCTAGGCTAGGCCAGGCTAGGCTAGGCCAGGCTAAGATACGCTAGGCTAGGCCAGGCTAGGCTAGGCCAGGCTAGGCCAGGCTAGGCTAGGCCAGGCTAGGCTAGGCCAGGCTAGGCTAGGCCAGGCTAGGCTAGGCCAGGCTAGGCTAGGCCAGGCTAGGCTAGGCTAGGCTAGGCCAGGCTAGGCTAGGCTAGGCTAGGCCAGGCTAGGCTAGGCCAGGCTAGGCTAGGCCAGGCTAGGCTAGGCCAGGCTAGGCTAGGCTAGGCTAGGCCAGGCTAGGCTAGGCCAGGCTAGGCTAGGCCAGGCTAGGCTAGGCTAGGCTAGGCCAGGCCAGGCTAGGCCAGGCTAGGCTAGGCCAGGCTAGGCTAGGCTAGGCTAGGCCAGGCTAGGCTAGGCCAGGCTAGGCTAGGCTAGGCTAGGCCAGGCTAGGCTAGGCCAGGCTAGGCTAGGCCAGGCTAGGCTAGGCCAGGCTAGGCTAGGCCAGGCTAGGTCAGGCTAGGCTAGGCCAGGCTAAGATACGCTAGGCTAGGCCAGGCTAGGCTAGGCCAGGCTAGGCTAGGCCAGGCTAGGCTAGGCCAGACTACTCTACGTTAGACTGCCTTCTACTAGTAAGAAATATTTATAAGACACGACGATGTTATATGGAGTGAATTACATAATTTTCTTGGTGTGTTTACAAGTGGCGAGAGAAAACGGGAGCCGGGATGTCCACTGTCATATGTCGACGTCACACGTGTGACGTCGACACACAACGTAACATTCTGACGTGGCTCATCATGATAGAGAGAGAGAGAGAGAGAGAGAGAGAGAGAGAGAGAGAGAGACAAACAGAGAGAAAGAGAGGGGGGGAAATGAAATCGGAAAATACTGGAGAGTGTATGTGTGTGTGTGTTGGAGTTGGTGGGGAGAGAGAGGGGTGGGGTGGTGGTGGTGGGGAGAGGATCGTGAAGGGGAGAGGTGGTAGTGGTTGATTCCCTTCCTCTTCCCCCCCTCTCTCTCTCTCCCCACTCCCCCCTTAGCCTGGCGGGGCTCCAGGAGGGGCGGGGTAGAACATGCACCCTCATCACACTCATCACTCAATCCCCCACCCTCTCCACTCATCCCTTCCCCTTCCCTCCCCCCTTCTCGACACCTCCAACATTACACCAACCACCATCCCCTCCCTCCCCCCCTCCCCTCAGCAGTCCATCTTTTTCCATCCCTCTCCCCTCCCTCTCCCCTCCCTCAGCCATCCCCATCCACAAAAATCCCCCAACAATCCACCCTAATCCCTCCTCCCTCCCCCCCTCACCATTTCCGCACACCCTCCTCTACCACCACAGTCATGATCATCTCCCTCGTACCAAGCCTGAAGTAACAATTATTATTATTATTATTATTATTATTATTATTATTATTATTATAGCTGGTAAATCAACGACCCGTGTATATGGTGGAATTTAAACCCAACACAGTCTTGGTAACTTACATTCTTGACTACAGAGAATATGTTTTTGAAACGAGTTGTATTCTTGGTTACTGAGAACATATACCTGTTGTATTCTTGGTTACTTAGAACATATACCTGTTGTATTCTTGGTTACTGAGAAGATATACCTGTTGTATTCTTGGTTACTGAGAACATATACCTGTTGTATTCTTGGTTACTGAGAACATATACCTGTTGTATTCTTGGTTACTGAGAAGATATACCTGTTGTATTCTTGGTTACAGAGAATATCTACCTGTTGTATTCTTGGTTACAGAGAAGATTTATATTAACGAGATGTATTCTTCTTGCAGAGAGCTTGTCAGGGATCGTCTTAGACAGCGATAAAGATGACGAGAGAATGAAGAGTGAGTACTCCATCGTTGTTTACGTTCTGGCGTCAGCTGATCCCAGGCACGTGTTCTTTGTTTACCTTTTAGCGTCAGCTGATCCTGGCACGTGTTCTTTGTTTACTTTCTGGCGTCAGCTGATACCAGGCACGTGTTCCTTGCTTACTTTCTGTCATCAGCTGAACCAAGGCACGTGTTCCTTGTTTACCTTCTGGCGTCAGCTGATTACAGGCACGTGTTCTTTGTTTACTTTCTGGCGTCAGCTGATCCCAGCCACGTGCCCTTTGTTTACGCACGTGTTCACCCTTCTTAGCTAGTTTCTAAAGGCAGTTAGCAAGTGTACGTACCATAGGTAGTGAGGAAGAGTACGTACCATAGGTAGTGAGCAAGAGTACGTACCATAGGTAGTGAGCAAGAGTACGTACCATAGGTAGTGAGCAAGAGTACGTACCATAGATAGTGAGCAAGAGTGCGTACCATAGGTAGTGAGCAAGAGTACGTACCATAGGTAGTGAGCAAGAGTATGTAAAATAGGTAGTGAGCAAGAGTGCGTACCATAGGTAGTGAGCAAGAGTACGTACCATAGGTAGTGAGCAAGAATACGTACCATAGATAGTGAGCAAGAGTGCGTACCATAGGTAGTGAGCAAGAGTACGTACCATAGGTAGTGAGCAAGAGTACGTACCATAGGTAGTGAGCAAGAGTACGTACCATAGGTAGTGAGCAAGAGTACGTACCATAGGTAGTGAGCAAGAGTACGTACCATAGGTAGTGAGCAAGAGTACGTACCATAGGTAGTGAGCAAGAGTACGTACCATAGGTAATGAGCAAGAGTACGTACCATAGGTAGTGAGCAAGAGTACGTACCATAGGCAGTGAGCAAGAGTACGTACCATAGGCAGTGAGCAAGAGTACGTACCATAGGTAGTGAACAAGAGTACGTACCATAGGTAGTGAGCAAGAGTACGTACCATAGATAGTGAGCAAGAGTGCGTACCATAGGTAGTGAGCAAGAGTACGTACCATAGGTAGTGAGCAAGAGTACGTACCATAGGTAGTGAGCAAGAGTACATACCATAGGTAGTGAGCAAGAGTACGTACCATAGGTAGTGAGCAAGAGTACGTACCATAGGCAGTGAGCAAGAGTACGTTCCATAGGTAGTGAGCAAGAGTACGTACCATAGGCTGAGCAAGAGTACGTACCATAGGCAGTGAGCAAGAGTACGTACCATACGTAGTGAGCAAGAGTACGTACCATAGGCAGTAAGCAAGAGTACGTACCATAGGTAGTGAGCAAGAGTACGTACCATAGGTAGTGAGCAAGAGTACGTACCATAGGCAGTGAGCAAGAGTACGTACCATAGGCAGTGAGCAAGAGTACGTACCATAGGCAGTGAGCAAGAGTACGTACCATAGGGAGTGAGCAAGAGTACGTACCATAGGTAGTGAGCAAGAGTACGTACCATAGGTAGTGAGCAAGAGTACGTACCATAGGTAGTGAGCAAGAGTACGTACCATAGGTAGTGAGCAAGAGTACGTACCATAGGCAGTTAGAAGAGTACGTACCATAGGCAGTGAGCAAGAGTACGTACCATAGGCAGTGAGCAAGAGTACGTACCATAGGTAGTGAGCAAGAGTACGTATAATAGGCAGTGAGCAAAAGTACGTATCATAGGTAGTGAGCAAGAGTACGTACCATAGGTAGTGAGCAAGAGTACGTACCATAGGTAGTGAGCAAGAGTACATACCATAGGCAGTGAGCAAGAGTACGTACCATAGGCAGTGAGCAAGAGTACGTACCATAGGTAGTGAGCAAGAGTACGTACCATAGGCAGTGAGCAAGAGTACGTACCATAGGCAGTGAGCAAGAGTACGTACCATAGGTAGTGAGCAAGAGTACGTACAATTGGCAGTGAGCAAAAGTACGTATCATAGGTAGTGAGCAAGAGTGCGTACCATAGGTAGTGAGCAAGAGTACGTACAATAGGCAGTGAGCAAAAGTACGTATCATAGGTAGTGAGCAAGAGTACGTACCATAGGTAGTGAGCAAGAGTACGTACCATAAGTAGTGAGCAAGAGTACGTACCATAGGTAGTGAGCAAGAGTACGTACCATAGGCAGTGAGCAAGAGTACGTACCATAGGCAGTGAGCAAGAGTACGTACCATAGGCAGTGAGCAAGAGTACGTACCATAGGTAGTGAGCAAGAGTACGTACAATAGGCAGTGAGCAAAAGTACGTATCATAGGTAGTGAGCAAGAGTACGTAACATAGGTAGTGAGCAAGAGTACGTACCATAAGTAGTGAGCAAGAGTACGTACCATAGGTAGTGAGCAAGAGTACGTACCATAGGTAGTGAGCAAGAGTACGTACCATAGGCAGTGAGCAAGAGTACGTACCATAGGCAGTGAGCAAGAGTACGTACCATATGTAGTGAGCAAGAGTACGTACCATAGGCAGTGAGCAAGAGTACGTACCATAGGCAGTGAGCAAGAGTACGTACCATATGTAGTGAGCAAGAGTACGTACCATAGGCAGTGAGCAAGAGTACGTACCATAGACAGTGAGCAAGAGTACGTACCATAGGTAGTAAGCAAGAGTACATACCTACGTATCATAGGTCCTGACATGACTGGCTTGGTGGCGACGCCGGGGCGCCTCCTGCCGCCCGCACCCAAAGTGTCGTACGGCGCCAAGGAACCTCCCTGGATAATGAGTTCACAAACCACAACACAATCACAATCTCCCAGTCGATTACTAGACGAAACACGCTACTTTCTGAGCCCGTGATCACCCCTCACTCAGCCCGACATTACTAATTCCCCGTAACCTACCTGTTTTTTGACCGTGTTTACATTCTGCCTGCACTAGCTGTAAATCAATAATCAACAGACTAGGAGATAGACCTGTTTAGTAACTTTGTTCAGATAGAATTACACATTCTTTGTACCAGTATAGTTGTCTTACGTAATGTATGTGTACATTTCCTAGGATAACCCCCTCCCCCCCTTCCCACAGAAGTCAAAAGTGACTTAATTATATTGAAGTTCCACTGCACTGGTTTTCTTGATATTTGTATAGGGGCCATTGTGGTCCTTAATATTTCCATTGTAGTCCTTGTATTTCCATTGTAGTACTTGTATTTCCATTGTAGTACTTGTATTTCCATTGTGGTCCTTAATATTTCCATTGTAGTCCTTGTATTTCCATTGTAGTCCTTAATATTTCCATTGTGGTCCTTGTATTTCCATTGTGGTCCTTAATATTTCCATTGTAGTCCTTGTATTTCCATTGTGGTCCTTAATATTTCCATTGTAGTCCTTGTATTTCCATTGTGGTCCTTAATATTTCCATTGTAGTCCTTGTATTTCCATTGTGGTCCTTAATATTTCCATTGTAGTCCTTGTATTTCCATTGTAGTCCTTAATATTTCCATTGTAGTCCTTGTATTTCCATTGTGGTCCTTAATATTTCCATTGTAGTCCTTGTATTTCCATTGTGGTCCTTAATATTTCCATTGTAGTCCTTGTATTTCCATTGTAGTACTTGTATTTCCATTGTAGTACTTGTATTTCCATTGTGGTCCTTAATATTTCCATTGTAGTCCTTGTATTTCCATTGTAGTCCTTAATATTTCCATTGTAGTCCTTGTATTTCCATTGTGGTCCTTAATATTTCCATTGTAGTCCTTGTATTTCCATTGTGGTCCTTAATATTTCCATTGTAGTCCTTGTATTTCCATTGTAGTCCTTAATATTTCCATTGTAGTCCTTGTATTTCCATTGTGGTCCTTAATATTTCCATTGTAGTCCTTGTATTTCCATTGTGGTCCTTAATATTTCCATTGTAGTCCTTGTATTTCCATTGTAGTACTTGTATTTCCATTGTAGTACTTGTATTTCCATTGTGGTCCTTAATATTTCCATTGTAGTCCTTGTATTTCCATTGTAGTCCTTAATATTTCCATTGTAGTCCTTGTATTTCCATTGTGGTCCTTAATATTTCCATTGTAGTCCTTGTATTTCCATTGTGGTCCTTAATATTTCCATTGTAGTCCTTGTATTTCCATTGTGGTCCTTGTATTTTCATTGTGGTCCCTGTATTTCCATTGTAGTCCTTGCATTTTCTTTTGGTCCTTGTATTTCCATTGTGGTCCTTGTATATCCATTGTGGTCCTTGTATTTCCATTGTGGTCCCTGTATTTCCATTGTAGTTCTTACATTTCCTTTTGTGGTCCTTGTATTTTCTTTGTAGTCCTTGTATTTCCATTGTGGTCCTTGTATTTCCATTGTGGTCCTTGTATTTCCATTGTGGTCCTTGTATTTCCATTGCGGTCCTTGTATTTCCATTGTGGTCCTTGTATTTCCATTGTGGTCCATGTATTTCCATTGCGGTCCTTGTATTTCCATTGTGGTCCTTGTATTTCCATTGTGGTCCTTGTATTTCCATTGTGGTCCTTGTATTTCCATTGTGGTCCTTGTATTTCCATTGTGGTCCTTGTATTTCCATTGTGGTCCTTGTATTTCCATTGTGGTCCTTGTATTTCCATTGTGGTCCTTGTATTTCCATTGTGGTCCTTGTATTTCCATTGTGGTCCTTGTATTTCCATTGTGGTCCTTGTATTTCCATTGTGGTCCTTGTATTTCCATTGTGGTCCTTGTATTTCCATTTTGGTCCTTGTATTTCCATTTTGGTCCTTGTATTTCCATTGCGGTCCTTGTATTTCCATTGCGGTCCTTGTATTTCCATTGTGGTCCTTGTATTTCCATTGTGGTCCTTGTATTTCCATTGTGGTCCTTGTATTTCCATTGTGGTCCTTGTATTTCCATTGTGGTCCTTGTATTTCCATTGTGGTCCTTGTATTTCCATTGTGTTCCTTGTATTTCCATTGTGGTTCTTGTATTTTCATTGTGGTCCTTGTATTTCCATTGTGGTCCTTGTATTTCCATTGTGGTCCTTGTATTTCCATTGTGGTTCTTGTATTTCCATTGTGGTTCTTGTATTTCCATTGTGGTCCTT